TCAAGAATGCACCCTTATTGTCAACAAAAGTAAAAATATACTTGGAATATAGAAATTAAATTAAAATAAATAAATAATAATAAAAATACCAAAAAAATCAATAAATAATAAGAAATGAATGAGTAAATAAATAAATACATTATAAGTATTTGTGAATAAAAAAACAGGAAAAAGTATACACAAGGGAACGAACCCAAGCACTCAAGCGTATGAGTCAGGAGTGTTACCACTCAGCCACAGGACGATCAAGTGGAAGCACGCGTATCTTATATATAAAGTGCTAAAGAAAACTTTAAGTTGGTTTTTCTCAATTATATTGAGTGTTGTACTTTAATATTTTACAGGTAGTACACTCACATGGTGTACTACCTCTACCAAAGATCATCAAAATTCATTTCCCCAAAGCCGTAGGGTCTCCTTGTAAGACAAAATCTAAACGGCTAGAAATGAAGTGAGAAAGGTTTTGTCTTAGTCAGGAAAAATTACTATTACAGTAGAGCGTCGATTATCCGAATCAATTGGGGACTGGGGTTGTTCGGAAGATCGATGTTTCGGATAACCGATTATGTACGAAAAAATATATTAATTTATCCCATCTTGACATTTTTCTCTGTTGCGTGTCACTTCACGTTGAATTTTCGTCAATGTTAAGCCTAACGAAGACTATTGTATCGTTAAAAATTATTTTTTTTATTTTGTATGAACAAAATAAATATATTGAAAAATATAAAAACAATAAAAAATTATACTTCAGAAGTTAATTTAGTATCAAAAACGTAAAATATTTGAGTAGCCCAAGACATAGGCAAAGATTGCAGCGCCACAGCACTGGCAAAAATTTAAATTTTCTGATTGGAATTCTTTCGGATAATCTATGCTCTACTGTATTTGCAATGTTTATTTGCATTGAAACATTATTTATGATAATATAAATGAAGATCAACACCTGAAACAAGGTCAAATGGACTCAAATAGTACTTCTATTAACATTTTCTTCTGTAACAAATATATTCAGATAAAATACATGGAATGCAGAACTAAATGAGCAAATTAAAATTGTGTACAAATTCAGTTTAAAATTATTTTTTTTAACACATTAAGTATGTACTTATGCAGTTATGTAAAATATTAGGTTATCTTTTAAAAATTAATATACAAATACAAATTATATACTTCTAAGTTTATAGTTTGTATTTGTATTTTAACTTTATCAATGTTAAACATAGTTCAGATGTCAAGGTCGCCGTTACTGTTTATACATTGTACAAACAGTAACAGTGGCCTTGATATATATTACAGGCAGTCCTGGACTTTTGGACAACTCATTCTCTTACAGAATATTTTGATAAATATGCCAAATTTTGACCTTCGTACATTTTTAGCCAACAAAATTTCAAGCTGCTATGTAATAGTGCCTCTTGCTAGTTTCAGTAATAATCAAAAGCTTCATGAAAACAAGTCTTTATTGTCTGTTTTCTGTTTAACCTATGGTATATTAAATGCATAAAACATTTCAAAATAATGTTTTTTGCACTGTGGCACTCAGTTGGCTATTGCTTTACCCCAGCATGGTGTATATATATATATATATATATATCTGTAAATAACACTAAGCTCTATAGATGTATATATAAACCATGCCAGGGTAAAGCGATAGCTGACTGAGTGCCATAGTGGATGATTAAAAGTCCATGGATGTAGGAGTTGTCCCCAGGTGGTACTGTGAATGGTTATATCATATATTAATTAAATATGCCTGAAAGTGAAGAGTTGGACAGAAATCCTAGTAATGTAATTGGCACAACTTCTGCACAGTAAGCAGGATTTGTGGGTTTGACTGTCACTCTGGGCTGATTCTTTTCTTCCAGAATATTCTAAATTAATTAGTAAATATTATAAATAGTAAATCTAATACGAGATGGCACCTAACGCTTACTTCTAGTACCAAATTACTTAGTAGTTAATCATTAATAATAGCTCTTGGTTAGCTCAATTCTTTATGGTGATCATTTGGTTTATTATTAATACATTGATCTTAGTGATGTTTGTAAATGTATTTAAGCATGGTCCTATAATAGTGTGCAAACTGCAGACATATCCCGAAGAAGGGATGTAAAAACACTTATGGAGGGATGGTAAGAATGTGTTTCAAGACAAATACATATGTTTGTTTACTTTATTACATAATAAGTTACAATTGTTTTCTAGATTGTACTGTTTATTTATAAAAAATGTATCATTCCTTTGTAATAATCTTACTAACATTGAAGTGTTACAAATTTTCATTATTAAAAATATTCATACAAATTTAGTGGGTAGTACAGAACAGCTCTGAAGGAGGAATGACTAAAAATGTTTGTGCACTCCTGCTGTGAATTTAAATTTAGCTCTGGCAGTTCTAAATAATAAGCATAAATTTAAGACATTGATTTCAGGATTGGATTGTATTAATGGCTTAGTAAAAATGGAAGTATTTTCGAAATGAATGCACTGTAGTTTTTACACATACAACCTATAGATCAGGGGTGGCCAACAAGTCGATCGCAAAACCAATTTTAGTTGATCACTCACGATGTCTTGACTTAATGTGTTTCACTTGTAAGTTGTAACCGAATGCAACACGTGAACATAACGCGCAAATGCAACTGTAGTGATATTGGACCTCAGATGCAGTTTTGTTGGTCCATGTGCAATCCATTTGCATACAGTTGTAAAAGTGGAATAAGAAATGTAGACAAAGGGTCGTAAAACCAAAAAAAAGAAGGGACAGAGAGAGTAGGTCAGGACACGGTAGAGAGAGGAAGGGTGAAGTGGTGGTCCCTGAAAGTGACAACGTTTAGTTTCAATTTTTCTTCTGTTTAAAATGTAAGTACCTTTTCTTCGTGTTTTAAATTAAATTGTGGCTTTTCTTATCTATCTAAACATAGTATGTGTTTCACACTTCCCTCCCCTTCGTCATTTAGACCAGGGATGGGCAACCTTTTTCTGTGTAAGGGCCGCATTTCAAAACTTTTGAACTGACGCGGGCCATATACAAGAGAAAAGAGGCGGGAAAATGCCGGTAAATCACAATTATTTATTCATATATAATTACAAATTAGAATAGGTATACAGTGGGTGATCGGTTAACGAATAGTTCGGGTAGTGAACAAATCGGATAACGAACACTTTCGCAAAAGATTTTTATGATTGGACAATGAACACATGTTCGGATAATGAACACTTTACTGAACAAACATAAAAAGAAGCGACGGAAAATAACGAATACTGATTGATTTTCCCTTATCTTCAGGTAACAAATCGAAACATTTCGGAGCGCGGGAGACATCAACATCGACGCTCAACCCGATATTGATCGGATAGTATCCCTCCAAATTTTGAAACTCCCTTGTAATTCCAGCTTTTTGTTTACGTTTCTGACAAATAATTTCTATAGTATTCGCGAGACTGTCGGATGGACACTCGTTAAGTTTTGTGTCGGGGTTTATTTACGAAGGTGAAAGTTTAGCTGTCCCATCGGATATTTGTTAACGTTTTAATACCAAATTTCGAATTTCATCCGGGCCTTGCATTTAAATAATTTTTTGTGGACTAGTTGATTTCTGTTCTCTGAATTTTTGTAAGTGCTTTTCTGAACTTTTATATAAAAAAGAAACTGGTGATATTATGATGCCTAAAAAGAGGAGTGTCAGGAACTGTGCTCACCTGTAGAAACCGAGTAAGAGATAATAGCCAAGGTAGAAAGTGGGCACAAGATGTCTGATGTTGCTAGACAGTATGGCTTGAACAGGTCTACAGTAGGCACAATCTTAGCTATGAAAGATATATCAAGAAGTCTCAAGCTGTTAATGGAGTAATGAAAATTACATCTGAGAAATAAAGAGCATTTTAGATTTCATAATGTAACCTGAAACTGATCTAACGATATAAGAAGTCCAGGGATGTCAGAACAACGATCATCCAAGTGGCATCCAAACCAGAATAAGGCTAATGGGGTTGGGGATCTCTACAATTACAATACTATTAATTACTTCCAAAAAATCCTGAAGAAAAGAGAAAAGCAATTGACATTGGACAGATTCTTTAACACCCACAAATGGAAAAAACATGACTAATAAAAATGCAAGACTGCATATATATATATATATATTTATTATTACATATAAATAAACATAGTAAAAAAAGCATATACCTTTTATTTTTTGGAGTCTCCGGAACGAATTAATCAAATTCCCATAAAAACCTATGGTAAATTGATAATCGGTTAACATACAATTCGGATAATGAACAAAGTCTTGGAATGGATTATGTTCGTTAACCGATCACCCACTGTACTTAATTTAGCTTCTAGAACTGATGTAAATGTAATGTATTGAAAATATTTGATTAAATATTAGTCACTGCTAGTTTTAAATTAGTTTCGAGGTAAATCTGTTAGCCGGTTTCTCATTTTAATTTTTACTAAAGTCATTGCAGGAAAAACTATTTACATACATAAGTTGTAGAAAATAACGTTTGAATTTTTGCTGCATACTTCTTAAGCTAGGAAATTGATATATTTATACACATTTTATGCAACTCGGGTCATGGGGTTTCCATCCCTGACTTAGACTATGCCTACAACAAGTCATTCGTGACATATTTTTAAGATAAAAAGTAGATCTTATGTACACAAAAGTTGGCCACCCTTGCTATAAGATTATCTGTATTTAAATGATAATTCAAAAGGAATGTTAATTATATGATACGACGGCTATACACCAATTTTAAATTACAATTGCTAGCATGCAAAGAAGAATGATTGTTTCATAGCACACAAAGCATATATGGTAGTAGATGAGTTATGCAAAGGTTTTATTTTTGTTCTAGCAGTTGTCTGTAGGTTATACACATGAAAACATAGTAACTTGTGTAAAGTTGAAATATCAGTTTTGTTATTAAAATATGCTTGGTAATTAACTTATATACATTTAATTCTTAAATATTTTTCATATTTTTAGATAAAAATGAGTGGTGTAGAAGAAGTTTGTGAAAGTAATGAATCGGAAGTAAAGGTAAGAAAATTATTTCTGCGACTATAAAAATTGCAAGATGCAGCATAGTATATTATGGTATAATGTGTATTTGTTAAGCCCAGTGCAAACTAGTTGATGTTATTACTTTTAATGTGATATCTGTCAAGATTTGTTTAGTCACGTGACTGTTTTCCTTCAGTGAACTCACAATATTGTAGCTTGGGATATCATTTGTGAAATAACTGTAAAGAACCAATGAACATTTTCTCTACAAACTATTGCTTGGAAGAGTTTGTTACAAAATGACAAAATCAACTATTTGACTCAGAATTGCAGCTTGTATCAAAAACAAGTGGCATAAATATTTCACTGCTAATGAGCATTTTGCAATTGTTTCACAAAAAATCAAATATTCACTTTTTAATTTATGACTACACCTCTGGTTACAAATATTATTTCTTATATTTCTTCTATGCAGGCCGACCCTACAGAAAATTAGACTTCCCATAACAGTGGACAACATACAAACCACTATGAATGAATGAGAAGGATACTAATCAAAATGTTGTTTGCATCATACTATATGCCATAAACTGAGTGTCACAGTTATTGGGTGGTTCGGAAAGTAAGTTTGTTTTTTTACCACTAGACGGATTAGTCGTATTTTTCTCGCCATTTTCGTTCTAAACTGTATTATCATTATATATTTTGACAGCTAGCATTTTATGGCTTATTTGTAAAAAATTTGTTTGATTTCGTGCAATTGTTTATTTTTTGTGTCCCATCAAATATGGAAGATTGAAAGCAGCATCTTCGGCATATTTTGCTTTTTTATTACCAAAAAAATAAAAATGCTGTTCAAGCAAGAAAAAAATTGTGTGACATGTATGGTGGAGATGTGTTAACAGAATGACAGTGCCAAAACTGGTTTACAAAATTTCGTTCTCGCAATTTCAGTATTGAAGATGCACCACGTTATGGATGGCTAATTGAAGCCAATGAAAACAAAATAAAAGTACCAATTGAAGCAAACTGCAGAATAACAACATGTGAAATCACTAAGAGATTAAATTTATCAAATTGAACTGTTTATGAGTACTTGAAACAAATTGGTTTCGTTTCAAAGCTCGATATATGAATTCTACGAGTTCTTAAAGAGAAATGCTCTATTTGGTGGGATATTAAGGAAATTTTTTTTGGAGCTTTTACCAGACAATTTAACAATTGATTCGAAAGTGTACTGCATTTGAGTAAACAAATTGCGTAATATCATCAAACAGAAAAAGCCGGCCAGAATTGATAGAAAAACAGCTGTAGTGTTTTACCACAATAATGCCAAATTTCACACAAGTTTGGTAACTCATCAGAAACTGTTATAACTTAGATGGGACATGCTATCACACCAACCGTATTTGCCAGATCGAGCACACTCAGATTATTACTTGTTCCGGTCTATACAATTTTTTTTTAACTGTAAGACATTTACTTGAAATGATGATGTCAAAAATCACTTGGATCGGTTTTTTGTAAGCAACAATCAAAACCTTTATGAATGTGAAATCGTGCTACTACCAGAAACGATGACAACAGGTAATTGACCAAAATGGTCAACATATAATTCAATAAAATATTTATTTATTATAAGAATATTGCGTTTTTTTTTCCACAGAAAAAAACGAACTTACTTTCTGAACAACCCAATAGAATGTGATTGATTGAAACAGTTTTGAACAGTAGTTGTGAAAAGTTGGTCAGTCACCAAAAAACTTTTCAGTTTTTATATACATTTTACTTGTTTGTATGCTGATGTCAGTCTAGCTTAAATGTCTACGCATTGAGTTAATTAATTGATTACTTAATTAAATATTTTTCACATCAATATTATACAATCATTGCCGATTTTTCTTAAATTTGTAAACTTTTATTGATATCATTTATAAAAATCGATATAGATTTCAGGAAAATTAATAAATTTGACCTTTTTTAGAGCACCACAGAAGCACAAAAAGAAAATCTTTCAGAAATAACTGATGTCGAAGAAAAGATTATTAAGCAAATTGAGGTTTGTTTATTAATGTAATAATAATACAGTAATAATAAATAAAGAGTTTATAAATTTAATTAGTGTATGAGCCTTTGATTTAAAACACTTAATTAATTAACTGAATTTATAACTGAAAATTTTATTTTTAAATTTCTTTTATTTGAAAACAGTATTATTTTGGAGATTTTAATCTGAGACGAGACAAGTACATGAAAGAAAAGATTACACTTGATGATGGATGTATCCTTTGTTTAAATTGTCTGTCAGAAATCGTTTGATTACATGCATTTCTGCTAATTTCCTTAATTATTATTCAGGGGTTCCTTTAGAAACTTTGATAACATTTAATAGATTAAAGGTGAGTGCAATAATAATAATAATAATAACAACTCTCCCGTGGTCACCACCTGGTCGTGGTGGGAGAGCCCAGTAATTTTACTGATCCATAGGGCAATGCAGGCTGGAGCACAAGCTCCTGGTAGGAACACCCATGCCAGTAAGGTCTATGGGGAGAAATGAAGCTAAGAGTGACCACACACCTACATTCTGTGGAGATAATCATTATGGTAGTAACCAGATCTAAGTATGATACCGGCTCGGACGTCGCCCGGATTAACAAGGTCCGGGCGACGATTCATGGGTTAGGCAGAGGCTCACGTTCAAAAAATAGGCTCCAGTCTCCCTTGGTTACCGGTGGCGAAAGCAGCGCCGGCCCAAGCATGGCTACTGCAATGCCCTCAACAGATGTGAGGAATCAACCTAGCCGTGGTGTTTCTGTGGCAATGCATCCACAGACCACAAAGGCTGGAAAACCATGCCAACGGATGAAATGGACAATAGAAATGAACGAGTTTATCATCCGCACTTACTACACCATCACAAGACTCGAAACAAACATGACAGCATACAGACAACAACTACACCACATATTCACACAACAATATCCTCACCTCACTGTCACCGAACAAAGGGTTGTTGATCAAAAACGAACAATTATACACAACAACCTTATCCCACAAACAACACTTGAACTTATCAAACAACAGGTTGCTGATCAAATACATCAACAGACAGAAACATTTAACATTAATGAAGATCACGTAACCTGTCAGGATAATCCAGCAACAAGCACTGATTACAGCACACACACAACAAGTACCACTAATGATACTGCAGGCACTTCCCCATCCATCACTGATAACGTAGACATAGAATTAGTTAATACGCTCTCACTTATATTTCAGGAAACACTCATTAAATATACTGGTACAGATCCCACACAAAGACCACGAATACCAAAAATCAACACGTCAAAGGCAGTAGGAAAAACACTAGATTATGTAAACACTCACTTACTACCAAACTACATTCATTCAATTTCTACACTCTCAGACATTCATACATTAGTTTATGCTGGGGCAGTCACAGTAGTAACACACCATGGACTGAAAATACACTCACAGACAGACACACACAAAACACAATTCTATCATAAGCCTGCCTGGCAGAGAAGAATAGAAACACAAATAAATGACATTAGACAGCAATTAGGCAGGCTGACACAATACACTAAAAACAACATAACACCCAAATTAAAGAAACAACTCAAAAACATTTTCAAGAAAATCAAAACACACACAAAACATGAACATCACAACACACACATTACAGAATACATCGATACACTAAAACAAAAACTCGCAGCCAAAGCACGTAGACTCAAACGATACAAAACATGTACACTACGAAAACAACAAAATAAATTATTCACAAACAATGAAAAACTTTTCTACAGACAAATCAGTACCAAAACAAACACTGATACACAGCACAGTGGCACACCAACAGAAGAAGAACTCACAACTTATTGGTCTTCTCTTTGGTCCAATGCTGTTACACACAATGCTGATGCAGGCTGGATCAAGGAGGAGAACAGAAACTTGCATAACATACCAAGTATGCCCTGTGCTGAAATAAACATACACGACATTCGCTACGCTGTTAACAGAACACACAACTGGAAGACACCTGGTGTAGACAACATTCACAATTTCTGGTATAAAAAGTTTACATCACTGTACCAGGAACTAGCTAAACATCTAACACACATCTTCATCAATCCACAAGACATGCCAAAATTTTTTACTCGGGGCATTACCTACATGAAACCTAAAAACAACAAAACCACAGACCCCACACAATACAGACCAATTACATGCCTTCCAACACTCTACAAATTATTGACATCCTGTATCACAAACAAAATATACAAACACGTAAAAGAACACGACATTCTTACAGAACAACAAAAAGGTTGCCGTAGAAATCACAGGGGATGCAAAGAACAGTTACTCATAGATTCAGTCATTCTACGGCAAGCACACAAACAACACAGAAACATACACATGGCATATATAGACTACAGAAAAGCATTCGACAGTGTTCCACACAGTTGGCTGCTACATATTCTACACATGTACAAAATACATCCATCACTCATTGCATTCTTCGAAAACACTATGCAGCACTGGAGAACAACACTACATCTCAGGGTTAGTAACACTTCCATACAAACAAACGAAATATTCATTAGGCGAGGAATTTTTCAAGGAGATTCCTTGAGTCCTCTCTGGTTCTGCCTAGCCCTGAATCCATTATCCAACATGTTAAACAACACGCAATACGGCTACAATATCAGACACGAAAAAACAACACAGTTTACACTCTCACATCTCATGTACATGGACGACATAAAACTTTATGCATCCACACAAAAACAACTTCATCAACTCCTACAAATCACACATTCATACACTAAGGACATACAAATGGAGTTTGGCCTAGACAAATGCAAAAAACTTCACATAGAAAAAGGAATCCTGAAGAAAGAAGATTTTGCACTTGGAAATGGAGACGTTATTGAATCCATGGAAGAGGGCGAGTTCTACAAGTACTTAGGATTCCAACAGGCCAAACTAACAGAACATACACAAATAAAGCAACGATTAATTAAAGAATACCAAAGTAGGTTAAACGCTATACTTAGAACACAGTTAAATGCAAAACACACAGTTAAAGCAATAAACACATATGTCATCCCAGTACTCACATACTCTTTTGGAGTTATACATTGGACTCACACAGATCTCGAGCAACTCCAAAGGAAAACAAGAACAACACTTACTAAGCATAAACAACATCATCCTAAATCCGCCACAGAAAGATTAACCCTTCCACGTAAAGAAGGCGGACGTGGCCTGATTGACATAGTTAACCTTCACTACAAACAAATACAGTCACTGCGAGAGTTTTTCTACAAGAAACAAGAAACATCACAGTTACATAAAGCAGTAACTCTAGCAGACTCAAATAACACACCATTAAACTTACACTCACATCATACAGACATGACACAACACATAAAAAGCATAGACACCATCAAGCAATCGTGGGCTCGAAAGGCACTCCATGGCAGGCATCCTTATGACCTGGCCCAGGATTTTGTTGACAAAACTGCGTCAAACAGCTGGTTAGATCGGGGATGCCTCTTTGGGGAGACGGAAGGATTCATGATTGCCATACAGGATCAGGTCATAAATACTAAAAACTACAGAAAACACATACTCAAAGATACAACACTCACAAATGACACATGCAGAAAATGTCACATCATGCCAGAAACTATACAACACATCACTTCTGGTTGCAAGCTCTTGGCACAGACAGATTACTTACATAGACACAATCAAGTAGCAAATATAATACACCAAGAGCTTGCAAAGAAACACAAATTGGCAGACATCCACGAACCATACTACAAGTATATTCCACAGACAGTATTGGAAAACAACACGCACAAAATGTACTACGACAGAGCCATAATCACAGATAAAACAATTTACCACAACAGACCAGACATCACACTCATTGACAAACACAATAAAATCACATACATTATAGACATAGCCATTCCAAACACTCACAATGTACAAAACACATGCACTGAAAAAATTAGCAAGTACACAGAACTCGCCCAGGAAATAAGGCATCTGTGGAGGATGGATAGGGTGCTTATTGTACCTGTTGTTCTCTCCTGTACAGGTGTGATACCACACACACTACACAAAAGCCTGGGAACATTACAATTGAATAGAAATACATACATAACACTACAGAAGGCCACTATATTGAATACATGCTACATTGTTAGGAAATTCCTGAATACAGACACTGACACACTTATTTAATTTTAGTTTTGTTTTGATTGCTATGCCTTGACTCTGGTCCGGCATAGTACACAGCCACTGGTGTAAACCAAGTATAACTCATAAAACCCAACATAATAATAATAATAAACTTTTAAAATTGAAATATCTAGGTTAATAAATCATACTGAAATCTTAAAAACAGTTGTTTTAAATGATTACTAAATGTTTTAAAATCATATTATAAACCTAGCCTGAACTATATTACTAATCAGAATTGAATTAGATTTATTATTGGACTAGATTTTGGTTAGTTTCTGACATTATATATATGTAGAACAGTGAGTTAAGTTGACCATCTGTTTAGCCCTGGGTCATAAAGATTAAAAATGAAAGAGCTCTAACCTGTATAGCCCAAATTGTGAAATGATTCAGGGCCAATCGACTCATTCACAAAAAGAGACTTAGGATGTTCTTTGTCTTTGGATTGGACAGACAGACTAGAACTTTAAGCTTGAAGTTATACTATTCTAGGAAGAAAGCTCAAAGTCAAGTTTTGATTAATTATTTGTGAAGTTTCAAGACTCGAATGGAGGATCTCGGTCTTAGTAATGAACTTATTTGGATAAATAAGAACTAATTTTAAATGTATAAATAATTTTATGTTGCACATTGGGGCTGTGCTAAAAGTATTCCTGCACCATGATCTATACATTAGTTCCAGAGAATTGATTCCTTTGTTGTAGAAGAATATTAAATATATTTTATGGATAATCATATAGCCAAATCAGTTAAGATGTCAGCTGATGCTTGGTGGCCTGGAATTGAATATGGCCAAGCAATTCCCTGGAAATTTTTGTGGGGGTAAATTTTGATTATGTTGGGCCACGTCCTTTGCCACTTGGCCATCCCATTTTGGGGTGTGCAAACCGACACTGAGTATGGAAAAAAACCTTCTAAGTGCCAATAGGATGAAAAGAATTAAAAATGGGATGGGAAAATCATATTTTATGTAGAATGGAAGATTCTGATAATCAGTTTATTCCAATATTTGCAAATAAAATTTCTTAAATTATTTTATTTTTGCATTTAAACTTTCATATTATGATCGGCAAATTCTGTTTTATTTACAAAGATTTAATTTCAGGCAATCACTACAGATTTCGATCAAATTGTCACTGCATTAAAAAAGTCTCCAAATAATCTAATAGAGGTAAATAAAGTTTTTAATAATTTATAATCAAGTTTGCAATGCCTTTTAATAAAGTTAAATAATAAAAAGTTTTCTATTCACTTTGCTAAACCTAGTTCTCATTTGTGGAAACAGAAATTGGAAAATTTTATCATTTTTTTTTTAGCATGGAAATTCTCAGAAATTTAAATTGAAAAGTACTTATTTTTTTCTGTTTGAAGTGCAGAAATTATTCAATAGCTGAAGAAAATAAGTTTAATAAAATGTTATTTGTTGATTTAAATGTAAAATTCAATCAGAATCTGACTTTTCGGTGTAGACAAGTTAGGCATTTGTCTGAGGCCCACATCTGATGGAAACTCATAAATTGACTTGTAAATTGGCATATAAGTAAGTAATAATTTTAAATGTATTGTGAACTGTGTGAATATAATAGTTACTCTATGAGGACCCAGTGATATTTATTACAAGTTATTGATTAATTTATTTTTTTGTGGAGACCCCATGACCAAGCAGTTTCGTTTCCTGAACACTGGTATCAACAGTTCCAGTTCCTGAACACTGGTATTGCAAACCCATAACTGAACAGTTCAGTTATGGGTTTGCGCCTCACTCAGAGAAGAGCTGGCCACGTAGAGTTTTCCAGGTTTTCTCCACATCTGTAATGCCTGAATAGGAACCAGTTACCCTTAAAAAGACCTCCCGGAAGGCATCAACCCCTAGGCAGATCGCCCAAGTGTTGCATTGCCATAATTTAACAAACAAATAAACTTTTTTGGGGATTATTAGTGTCAGTAGAATGGCATTCAGTAGACAATAAATGCTGATCCACACTATTGCAGTAATGGTTTTATATGTCCTGCTGAAAACCACGTAGCAGTTCACGTAGTTCCCTGAAAAGTCACAGTGATATAATTTTGTAACATAGTCATTGAAAGTTTAGAAAAGTGTAGAAAATCATAGTTTATTCCACCCAACAACCACTCAAGATGATGCTACAACCTAAAGTGTGCACTGAAATCATGATAACACAAACAGGCCTTAACAGTAGATGTTTTTTGAATTTCTGTTTCTACAATGGGATATTTTATATTCTCATATATTATGACTTTTCAAAACATTATATGAAATTTCATTTGGAATATTCTTTTGTAAAGGTCAACTGCGAGTCAACAAAAATTCGCCGAAATCCAGAAAAACCAGTATCGGAAAATGGTTCTTATGAGGAAGACAAGCTAAAAGAACGATGTGTTTATGTGGTAATCTTTGTTTTTTTCTCTTCAAAAATACAAATCTTCTAAAATCAATTCCTGTATCTAGACACAGGAATTGAGATTTACAAGATTTCAGATTTTATTATTTGCTTATAGAAAAAATTTCCTGACAACATAACCTTAGATGAATTGCAAGAATTTTTTAAGAAGTTTGGTACTGTAGAAAATATTTTAATGAGAAGATTTTCACAGAGCAAGAAATTTCGAGTGAGTATTCCATTAAGAAAAAATTTATTTGTGATGAAAATAAAAAGAAAAATAGTTTCTCTCTACATGTATGGTATATATCTAAATAACATTTGCTTGACAATACTCTTAATTTGAGAAACAGTGTGTTTAATAACTTTGAGAAGAAAGAATAAAAAGTATTAAAGCCAATGAAATAAGAAATTTGAATAAACATTACTGTTTTTAAATCAATGTTTATTCAAATTTTGTATTTCTTTATTTGGCAATTTATCCAAAATATATGGATAATGCTTAAAAGCATCAATATTAAACCAAACGAATGCCGTAATTCATAGGAGTATTTTATGCAAACAATTAGTAATCAGAAATTAAGTAATTTGGTACTAGAGGTAGATGTTAAGAGTCCAGAATGGGAGTCAAACTTGCGACCTCCACTTACTATGCGGTGTGCTGCTGATTCTAATTATTAACTGTAGCATAAAATAGTCCGATTAATTATGGTGGTCGTTTGGTTTTATATTAATACATCAGGCTTTGGAAACTTTATATATATATTTTAAAGCATCAATAAGCATTTCTGTTATAAAATGCTTTGTTATAACCTTATGAACAGTCATAATGTTATAGGTTTAAGCAGAGTCTCCCATGTAAACTTTAAAATAAGTTATATCTACTTTATATGTATAAAATACTTAAAATTGTCACAACACTTTTCTGTCATAAAAAAAAGAATAGAAATGGCAGCACCACAAATCAATGAGTGTATTGGGAATAAAGGGGCAAGTCAAGTTGGGAAAGACCACTAGTATATATGAGGTAATATGTAATGTTTTAATTGTTTAACTGCTTATTTCAGGGATCTGTATTTGCTACATTTGCTACAAAAGACGATGCTGAAAAGTTTATGAATCTGACAGTGGTGAAGTACGAAAATGTTACACTTTCGAGAGAAACAAGGTTGGTTACGTCGTAATTTTCATAAATAGTTGATATGTAGTATAGGGTAACTCACCGAATATTGCTAAGTGTTGTTGGCAAGCTAATTTAAGATGTGCAAACAACTAACAGCAGTAGAATTACTTGTTTTCAAAAGTATAAATTGTTTAAAGCAGTCTCCAGCAATGTCAATAGAGCAGCCTACCTGGCAGCAAACACACAGTTTTTAAATCATTTCCAGAAAAATTCTTATTAAAGATAATTTTAAAGCATACACATCTTAACAGATATTGAATGTGGATCTAATAAACAAGAAACAAAATTAATTAATACTGAAACTGGACTTGCATGATATTTAAGACTGATTTCCAGCATTCTGGCAATAAGAAACTGGATCAAACAAAATTATTTTTTTAAATAAAATCTCATAACAGATGGCACAATGCAATTTTAACTTTGAGCCATGCACTTAGTATTTCTGCCTATAATAATAAATTTTTAAATATTTTTTTTATTTTGAATACAGAAATTTCTCATAATTCAACAAAATTATTTCTTTTAAGCTTTTATTATTATTTAAACTTTATATTTGTAGTATAACTGAAAGTTATTGGACTTCTCAGTTCCCTTAACCAGCCATTCAAGTGTCAGGAAAATTCATGACAGCTCTTACTAGTTTATTTTTAAATGAATAATTCAAACTTTCTGGATTCCTTCTGCTTCATGTTTGAGCTGAAAAGATTTGATTATATTTTTATTGGAAATTTTTATATAGGTTGTCTTCAATTTTCAGGCAAGTTATTCTTTCATACATTTTCAGCTGACTAAAGAAAAAGTTTTGAGTCATTGCAATGCTTTCTGCCAGTGATGGTTTTGGTAACTTCAAATACATTTGTGAAAATTTTTAGAACTGATATTAATTTCTTTGGTTATGCTTGTGATGCCCAGCAGAAAACAGAAGCAGATTGAATCAATAGTTTTTTGCATTAGAATTCTATTTAATTCTTCTGTTAACATTCAGTTCATAATATTGAAGAATGAATTTATTAACATTCTATGAATTTTTAATTAAAAAGTCATAGAAAATTTGTAGAAAATTAATGAATTTGAGTTTCAAAACTCTGAATCATACATTAATAGAAGAATTAAATAGGATTCTAATGCAGAAACCGTTTAGTTCAATTGGCTTTCATTTCCTAGAATCTTTGGAAAAGGATTTTCTCGTGGAAAAAGAATTACATTTTAAACACCGTCTGCTGAACATTGCATGCATAACCAAATCTGCAGTTTTGAGGACTTAAGCATTGTAATATATTCACTGTAAAAATAAATAAATCTTATAATATAATGGGTTGATAATGATAATAATAAGTGCAGAGCCCAAGTGGTTAGGAGTTGAAAGTTGAAATTTGGTACACAGTTAGGATACGTTGTGAGAACATACGCTAAGAAGGGATTTTTCGAAATCCCCCATGGGGAGAGGGACAGGATTAAGGCTTACCATGAAGAACTTGGCTTCTATTATACTATTTTAGATGTGGTTTTTTGTGTTTTAATAGAGTATGCCATGAGAATGCTCATTAGGAAGGAATTTTTCGAAATTCCCATCGCGGGGGGAGAGAGAGAGAGAGTTAAGGATTACCCTGAAGAACTCTGCTTCTACTGTATTATTTTAGATGCCTTTTTGCATTTGTGTGGGAAATCGAACATACTTTTAGACCCTTCTAAAAGTTCTCAATGATATGTAGTGTTCCATTGTATATAAAGTTGACATGGGGAGTGCATGCGCATAAGTTTGCTTTATTTGAACTCTTCATCTTAATGTTCGATTTTATGTTTGAATTTATATTTATGAATGATTCTGGAAGATCTGGAAGCTTATTTTTCGAATTTATTAAACCTGAAGAAGAACCTACAAAGAGTTACGAAAATGTTTATTATTTATCACTTGGTACTATGCACCAGTCAGTGGTTGCAGTGAGTCTTATTTATCATTATATCGGTGTGGTAAGCAGATATCTAAAAATTCTCTAATTAGTCTCAGAAGAGGGACCTAATTCTTGGCACTTGGTGAAAACGGTAAGATCGGCTATAATCTAATAATCTTAATCTTTGCTATCATTACTTTTTGTCCGAGCAACGCTGGGCTCATCTGCTAGTAAATAAGCATTTTCTAGCTTAATAAGAAATCTTATAACTGTTCTTCTTTCTGGGAACTACTGTCTTTTGGAAATTTGACTTTGGTACAGCTGAGTCTCGTACAATGTGGGGGTTTTACATTATAGGAAATTGAAGTTTAAACTTAGATCTAGAAGTTGAAGAAGAAAATATACAGTGGAACCTCGCTTAACGAGCATAATTTGTTCTAGAATCTTACTCGTAATGCGAAACACTCATTAAGCAAAACAATTTTTCCCATATAAATTGGAAAAAAATTACAATAATGCATTCCATGTCGAAAAAAATACTCAAATATTTTACATATAACGGTTATTCAAAGAAAATTATACAATATACATTGTTAAGGAGCGTGAAATATCTCTTCTTCTAGCATGGAATGAACCAATCTGGAATGTGAATTTGATTTGAGAAAACAAAAAAATCGAAAAAATATGTCTCAAGCAGCTAAATGATATGCCAAATTCTTGGGCTATGTAAAGGCTATAATTAAATATTAGGAATTAATTAATATGACTAGAGGTAGACAGTTTTGCTTTCATCTTGTATTAAATTTAATAATAATAAATAATTAGTTTTAATTTACACATTTCTAAAATTTAATTTGGAATTGGTCATCAAATTTAATACAAGATTGCAGCATAACTTCCTACCTCTAGTCAAATTAATTAATTCCTAATATTTAATTATAGTCTTTACATAGCCCAAGAATCTGTCATATTGTTTGGCATGTTTATTATATAATGAGCAATGGTTGATGTTAATGCGTAATATGTGTGAACTCAAGCTTGGAAAAATGTGTGATCACAAGCAACACTAAGATGCTGGTGGAACAAGTGTGTTAAACACACTGATGGAACAAGCGCACAATCCGAGACTTCTCCTCTCCTCTTCACTCGTAATGCGAAACATTGCTCACTAAGTGGGTCATTTTTTTACAATTTGTTTTGCTTGTTAAGCGAGGTTCCACTGTATACCTCTGATACCTCTGGACTACAAAATTAGTTTTGTATGAGTACTAGTCATAATTTTTTGTTGCGTTATGGGGGAATGCATTATATGGGAGTTTACTCTATACATTTTTAGTATTCATTCATATGCCTGGAAATTGAGACTTCCTCTATTAAGCAGTAAATGAAGAAAATGTAGATTTTTAGAACAGATTTGTGACTGGTTAAAGAAATTGTCTATAGAACTTTATTTGTTTTAGGAAAGACTATGAAAAACGAAAGGATCAGGAAATAGCAAAAATAAAGGAGTAAGATATTATATTAAATGCTTTTTCTAGATTATTAATTTTTATTATTTTTGCATTTATAATTTCCTTTTTTTTTTTGTATTCTAGACAGAAAGAAAAGAAGCAGAAACAAAAAGAAGCACTGCAGAATGAAATGGAAGAACTACAGAACGAGATGGAAGAAGAAAAGGTACGCTTATGTTTAAATGATCACTTTATGGACTCAAACTTAAAATTCAACGCAGAAACAAGTGACAGATTATTAGAAATTCAAACATTGATGGTCTGTAATTTGACCAAAATCGTTGATTGATTCCTAGTAATCTGTTGATTGTTTTAGTATTGAATTTTAACTTTAAGAAAAGGAAAATTAAGGAAACTGTAAGAAAAGGAACATTAATAGTATTATTTAAAGTGATATAATTCATTATCCAATTACATTTTTCATTTGTAGAATATAAAAGGATGTCTTTTAAAACTAACCGGAGTAACTAAAGAGCTAGATTGGGCAAAAATAAAGGAATTCTTCCGTCCATTTTCGTCTTTGGCATACGTCGAGATTAAAGAAGATAAAGGCGAAGTAAGTATTTAAAACAATAACATTAAATCTTTACTTTCTCTTATATACATTTATGTTTACATTAATTTAGGCCATTTTAAGATTTACTAGTGAAGGGGATGCTAAAGTGGCTCTTGAAAAGGCCATTGCAATGAGGGAGGACAAGAAATTGATTATCAATAATGTGGAAGTGGAAGGCATAATTTTAGAAGGTAAGTTTTATAGTTATATAACTTAGAAAAAATTGTGGGGTTTTTTTTTGTTAAACAATGAATTTAATTTATTGTAGCATTGCTTTAAATTTTTCTATACATTACTTCATATACTTTCTATACAGTACATATTCTTGAATTTTTTTGAAGTAAAAGAAAGGAAGCATTTTTTATGATTATTTACTTGGAACAGTTCTATAGCTAAGGAGTCATTTCATATATATATGGTAACAGTATATGGCTCCTATCATGACAAGGTTTGTCCACCTTTGATATATATATCATATATATCAAAGGTGGTGGTGAAACCTTGTCATGATAGGAGCCATATACTGTATCAGAAATATGTGAAAGTTACATTCTCTATTAGAACAGTATTTATAAATAAAGTTTAAGTTTATAAAAAGATATTGATAAAAGAACTTCATAAACATTATCTCTTGACTAAATCATCACTTTGCCTCCTATGTCATATTTTTGCCATGCTGTTTGTGGAAGTGTATTTAGTTTGGCTTGCATCTGAACATTTATTACCTGTAGATGGCAAAACATGCATTTTTACCAGATTATTTAATAACTCTAACTGGTCAAGGTAATGACTGGTGTAAAAGTAAAATTGTAATGTGTGTGGAGTTGATCTGTACGAAGATGACTGAAATTTGTTCTAATCGTTCTTCATGGCCAAAGATAGAATATGGCAACATCTTGTCTTAATAACCCCCAAGTTTTAATTCATAACTACGCAAAAGTGTATAATCATTCAAAGCTCACAGTTTTGTAACAAGTGGGTGAATTGATCCAAACATTCTAATAAAGAGTTCTTCAGAATATATCTTTTCTAGAAAGAGAACTTTAAGTAAGATACATTAAAACAAATTATAGCTCTAGGATGTTGTATTATTGTACTGACTAAAAATGTATTGATGATAGCAAAGGGTTTAATAAATAATTATTTCAAAAAATTGAAAAGACTTCAAATAATCACTGCTGCAACCAATTCGAGACTAGTAAAGATAAGCTTGAAAACTATAACACAAATGTATGTTTTATGATAGTTTTATTGACCATTGCACAGCACCATCAAAGTGCTGAGTGGTAATTTTTCTTTGTAAGTGTTGAAATTGTTTCATTGAAATTGACTTACATCATAGCTTTTCATTAGGTGAACCACTCAAAGGGGCACTTGACAGCTGGGCCCACTCACAGTCACCCAGTTGACTGTGTCCCACTCAAAGTTTGCACTTTTCCCATATTTGGATACACTCGTGTATCAGGTAATGTTATAACTGAATGGAAATGTCACAAATATGGTGCCGAGAAAAACACGCAAGCGCAATCGCGTACATCCGGTATTCCGATATGTCACATGCAAGTTGTCCATAAATAGGCTTTAAGGGAACCACAGTAATGATCTAGAAGAACCACTTGTGGCTTGCAATTCAGTTTGGCTACTGTGGATATATACAGTGGGATGAATAGATGATAACCGATAGACTCATTTGTGGTTTACCCACAAACATTTCTTAGAATCTGATGTAGATTAAAAGCCACAGATCCTCAGAGCATCAGGTCAATGTCAGGAGATTAAAAAGGTTCAGTTGCAGTTCAGAATCTCATAATATGTCATGTTTAATGCAGATTATAACAACATTTCCCCATGTACATTTTGGCCAGCTGCAGTGGCCATAATTATGTCTTTAATCAAACAGTTAGTTAATCAATAATTTGTGTAGATTGTTAAAGTAAAAGATTTGTATGCCATTCTAAAAATTTTTCAGTTATTTTGAGAATGAAGAGATTATAAATTTCATTCTGTTTTATTTTTTTAATAGGTAAAGAAGAAAATGAACACTGGCGATCAGTTCGAAACTCCAGAAATGCAAAATATAAGAAGAAAAATCAAAAAGGTAAAATTTATTTGAAGACCATAAGTTCCTTTGACATTTTTTACTCCTGTGGGTATGGTCTACAGCTCTGATAAAGGTTTCTAGCCACCTCATTCAGAGCTGCAATTTTACCCAATAATGTTTTGTTTAATTACAAAAGTCTTAATATGGAAGAAATACACATTTCAGATACAGTTCACATACAGTGTCTTCCTCTATTCCTGAATGGCCTCTATCCCAGTTGTTTCTTAATATCTTCTGAAGGAACCTGAAATATTGATATTAAATGAATAGTTTATATTATAAAAAATAGATTAGAGATAGTTATCAGTCAATTGTATTTAGAACTTATACATGCTTGGCCCAGAAAAATGTGAGGATACCCATTTTGAAAACTTTTATGTTTGATGATATGAATTTTGAATACTGGCAAACTTTACAATATTATTGTGACTATATGTGATACTCTGTTTCTTCTTACATGTACAGTACCATGTCCGATCCCCCTGACGTTGGTGGTCATCATAGCACAGGGTGATCTCATTTTTGTTTGTGCACCATAGTGATTCCTAGGAAATTGAATACCACAGTGGTTTCCCATTGCCTTCTCTGGATATTTGTTGTTTTGTGGGGAAGAATACTTTACGGGAGGACTTTTTAATTAATTAAGGATAACGCCCATATTCAGGCATTATAGACATAGAGAAAACACATAAAACTCCCCGTGGCCAGCTTGTCCTGGCGAGGCACAAACCCACAACTGAACTTCTAGTGTTCAGGAACAGAATCACTTGGCCACTGGTGGGCCAAGCTGTTCTGTTGTACTATAGTTAAAATCTATTGATATACAAGCCCAATAGTGGCTGAATGGATGTAACCACTAAACACTTGGTTGTAGGTTCATGCCTGACCATTGAGTCAACATGGAGTCTTCTGAGTCTTCTTCACATGTCTAACACCTAAATACAGGCCAGTGTCCTATTGAAAGTCCTCCTCCCGAGAGGCACCCTCTTAATAGATTGTTCGTGTATTGCATTGTCTTATCCCATGAACTCAAATCTAACGTTAGTGATAAAAAAGAGGAAGATGAATTATTTAGGTTACGCTTATACAATTGCATTTAAAAAGAAAGAAAGAAGTGCTATTTTGGAAGGGAAGAGAGGGAGAGGGAAACTGAGAATTAGATAGAAACAGAAGATTGGACTTGTCTTTTCTATAAGGATTGCAGCATGAAAGCTCAAAATAGACATTGGTAAAAATTCAATGTCATCCTCCTAGATGGAGAGATGATAGCTGAAACGTTATCTTACTGACATGATGATGAAATAATTACTAATTTGTGAAATTAGGTATAAATTTTTTAACTGTGCCCACGGCAGAAAGAATTAAAAACTTACAAGTTTGCTATAAGCACTAATAAGGCCTCTATTTAGCAAGCTCATTGGGATGGACAGTGGTGAGGGACGAGACCTGCCATATCTGGATACCCTCCGAAAAAATTCCTGGAGATTTTACTCATCTGGATTTTTTGAATCCACATTCCCAGAGTGGTAGGCTGTCACCTTACAAAAGTACCTAGGGATTATAGAGATGTGGATTAAGCATATTGTTTAAAAAAAATTTTGAACATCTTGTTTTTATAAAGTTTGATTACATGCATTTCATGAAAGAATTATTATATTTAATGTGTTCTTATTTCATTTTTTTTTAATTTTGCATTTAGGGTATTTAGGAAAGAAATCTAAATTTGGCAAACAAAACAGAGATTTTAAAAAGGAGAATGTCAAAGAGAATCAAGATGCTGAAGTGAAAAATACTGAAGAGAATGAAGGTTCTAAAAATGAAAATAGTCAGAAACATAAACTTGGTAAGTTAATACTTGGAGTTAGATGGGTGTTTGGTAAGGTATTAGTGTTTTGCCATGGAAAATTGAGTTTTAAATCCTATCAGATCTCCCTAATTTATTGTGGGTAGTGTAAGTTGGAGTCCATTTTCATTTCTTGCTCCTGTCGACTGAATCAGTAAGTTGGGTTCTATTGTAACAGATGTAATTGTGACCACCAAAGTAGCCTTAATTAACTGATCAAATACAGTCAATTCCACTTAATTGGGACATGTTGGGACTAATCCATTTTGGCCCAATTAAGTGGCTTCCCCAATTAAACAAACAAATAATAAATTTTTAAATAAAATATGTAATATGTAGGTAAATAAATAAGTAGGTAAAAAATAATTATTAGGTACTTATTTTAATGTTTTATTAAACCAAAATACAGAAAATATTTGTACTATAAATTTGCCAGACTCATGACGATAGATAACTGATTTGCATTATGCTAGTGTTGCCAGATATTAGTAGTGACGTACACAAGGGTTGACCGTTCAATCCATTCCTGATAGAACAATCTTTCCTTTCTCCCTTTTTAGTTAGAATGTGTCCAGGTTCTTCCGAAAGTCATCTTACGACCTCTTTTTTGAGAACAGTTTCCTTTACTTGCAGATGGGCCACTTCGCAATACCATCTGTAGAATCTGCCAGCTCCATGATGCTGGTCCCAACAATTGGATGGCTGTTGTCCAAATCATGCACACAATACCTTCCAAGGAAACTGTAACTGTCTTTCAACTCGGTTGAGAAACCTCAAAAAATTGTCTGGGAGCCTTTGTCCCTTCGTTTTTAAGAGGATCATTCAGTCCAATCCAGTACAGGATCAGTAGCTTGCATTCAGGTCCACCTCAGATGGGATTCCTGTATGATATGTCATGCTGTGCTGACTCCCTCCGGAGAAACCAAACTGCCTGAGCAAAAGACAAAATTGCTTTGTTCCCACCAACCGTTAGGCCTACATGCAGGGCCAATCAGAAGGNTTTTGGCCCAATTAAGTGGCTTCCCCAATTAAACAAACTAATAATAAATTTTTAAATAAAATATGTAATATGTAGGTAAAAAAATAATTATTAGGTACTTATTTTAATGTTTTATTAAACCAAAATACAGAAAATATTTGTACTATAAATTTGCCAGACTCATGACCATAGATAACTGATTTTCATTATGCTAGTGTTGCCAGATATTAGTAGTGACGTACATAAGGGTTGACCGTTCAATCCGTTCCTGATAGAACAATCTTTCCTTTCTCCCTTTTTAGTTAGAATGTGTCCAGGTTCTTCCGAAAGTCATCTTACGGCCTCTTTTTTGAGCACAGTTTCTTTTACTTGGAGATGGGCTACTTCACGATACCATCCGTAGAATCTGCCAGCTCCATGATGCTGGTCCCAACAATTGGATGGCTGTTGTCCAAATCATGCACACAATACCTTCTGAAGGAACTGTAGCTGTCTTTCAACTCAGTTGAGAAACCACGAAAAATTGTCTGGGAGCCTTTGTCCCTTCGTTTTTAAGAGGATCATTCAGTCCAATCCAGTACAGGATCAGTAGCTCGCATTCAGGTCCACCTCAGATGGGATTCTGGTATATGTCACGCTATGCTGACTCCCTCCGGAAAAACCGAACTGCCCGAGCAAAAGACAAAATTGCTTTGTTCTCACCAACCGTTAGGCCTACATGCAGGGCCAATCAGAAGGGAGGACAGGAAGGGCAGCTGCCCAGGGCCTTGCAATATTAGGGGCCTCAACTTGGCAACTCAATATGTTAGACAAAAATATAGGAGAAGGCAAAGCGATGTCATGGCTTGTAGAATGTCCTTAATTTTAGTTAAATTCTCCAAAAAAATATTTGAGAAAACTTCTAATTTTTAATATAGAAAACACTTTTTGCCTCAACTGTCCATAGCTAAAGCAGGTATAGAATTTATAATCAAACTAAAAGACCCCTAGCTGGAAAATAAAGCCTTGTCGGTGTTTGGCACCAGTAAAACAATAACAGAATACAGTATATAGGCCTTTCTGAAATCCCTCATAATACCTCTGAAATCCTTCTGAATGTAAAAAAATTGCAACCAAAAATGAAATAACTCCAGAATTTGAAATAAATTGTCTATTAAAAGACTAAAAATCTGCTGAAGAATATTTTCATTTAAATGTTTTTAACAAAATTATCAATTCAATAGTAGATGAACTTGTGTGTCGATTTCAAGCAATTTTTTGAAGTTTTATGGAAATTTAATGAAATGGATGAAGAGAATGTAGTTTCAAAGGCAGAATTATTGCTAGAGAAATATAAAAATGAAATAAGTGACAAAATTGTAGAAGAACTAACACTGCTGAAGTGTATTTACAAATCCAATTTTAAACTAAGCATGAAACCAACAGAATTACGTAAGGAGATTATCGACATGGGATTCGTAAACATATTTCCCAACATAATGATTGTGCTTTGAATTTTTTAACCTTGCCTGTGAGTATAGCAGAAGGTGAGAGATCATTTAGTGTTCTGAAAAGAATTAAAAACTATCTACGATCGACAATGTGTCAGGAATGATTAAATGGACTAGCAACACTCAACATTAATTACCAGATAGCGCGTATTTTAGACTATTCTGAAATAATCAGTGAATTTGCTAATGTTAAAGCGTGCAAAGCTGCTGTAAAATAATTAAATGTAATAATCCAAAAAAATATCAAATACCATTGACTTTATTTTCTTGTTCATAATTTTATTTTAAATTTTGAAGGGCCTCTAAAATATTAGTTGCCCAGAGCCTCGCATTTTTTCTGAAAGGCCCTGCCTACATGACATTAGTGTACATAGTATTCATATATTTTAGGGATCTTTTGAAAGTATATCAAAAATTGCTAAATTCCTTTTCTGCTACTGTCCCAATTAAGTGTTTAAATCAGTGTTTCTCAACCTCTAATGAATCGTTGTTCCCTTCAACATAGTATCGCCCCCTTCACTTCAAAACGCTGATGCTGAGGGCCAAGGCTAATGCCAAATTCGTACTGTATTGAATAGACTATTGACTAGTATAATGTTATTTGTTTAATTATTGTACGATATAATGAATAAAATATCCAATTATTCTTATTATAATGTTTTACTATATCGTCCAGAAAATTGTTTTTCGGCCCCCCAAAATATAAATTGTTACTAATCGCCCCCTCAACATGGAAAAGTGCCCACATGGGGGCGATATTGCCCACGTTGAGAAACACTGGTTTAAATTATGTATTAGTTTATTAGTTTGGTTTCTTGAGATTTGGCCCAATTAAGCGGAATTGACTGTGTTTGGAATTTGTTTAATACGGGGGTTTTGAACTGATTGTTGGAGTCCGTAAATATTCCTATGACTTACACATGTAAGGTAGAAACATGATTTTAATATTGACTTGTCACTACACTAGCAAATTTTGTTAGGTCTAGTACAAATATTTCATGTGCTCCCCTCTTGTCACCTTGCAGATATAAAGCCAGTAGTACAATTTCTGTCACACATTCCATAGTATGTCACTTGATTTGGATGGCAGAGCCCAGAGAATACACCAGATCAATACTACTAGTGCAGTTAATAGTTATCTGGCATCTGTCAATCTTTAGAAAGCTGTAGTATTTTTTTGGAGTATACACATATTCAAGAAAAACAGCTTTAATTGGATTTATATTGATACAGCTTCTTTTATAAGTATCTGGGAATTGATAGGTGTTAAAATTAGCAAGCTATTTGATTAATAAAACTCTTATCAATTTTAAACTTTTTGTGATTTTTCAGAAAAGGACGATGGTGACGAGTCTTCTCCGAAGAAACAAAAAGCAGAAGGATAAATTTTGTACAGAATATACCATATAATGGTGTCATGCAACATTTCTGTTTCTTATGTGTTATGTCATGTAATTTATATACATATATTTTTTTCTAATAAACGTCAAACTTGTATGAATTATAATATAGAATTCTTTTTGTTGAATACAACAGCCGCTGGGTATTAGTAACATCATAAATTGTACAGCACGTTTATGCTGAAACTCAGTGTGAAAGTCATTACGTCTTGAAGACTTAATGCTAAATCTTGGCACTATACCAGGACCAGCCAATTCCTCAACCGTATCGGCATGTTGACCCTCTGATTCACATTCCAGATGTAACAAGTTCATCATCGAACTCTACAAACACCCGACAACGACCAAATATTAATTATTCATATAAAATAATGTGAAATGACTATCATAATTCTGTCATGGCATTTAAAATTATAAATGAGGAAAATGAATGCTAATTAACGGTGTTAACGTTCTAAACAAATTACAGGTATAACATTTCCTCTCAGGGTTTAAGGTTTTAAATTAACTACTTCAGCATTAAATGTTACCATAGCTATGTAATGATTGATCCTGACTTTCATTCTTTGTTTCTTGTATATTGGTAATTTCAAAACTTATTTTCGAACATTAACGCATCGAGTGATAATAGGACGACATTTTAATTTGATTGAGCTGCAGTATTAAGTGACCGCTTGCTCTTATTTCTGAACGTACAATGTAACATCTGCTTTAAAGTTCTTTCTTTTGTAAGGGATTTTCACAAATATGGAGGATGTCCTGGAAAGATTTCTGGTATTGCATCAGTTTTATTAGGCCTAAAAGTATTAGCTATTAAACTGTTATATTACTAAATAAACAAACAGTGTAATTAAATTTCATATTTTCTAAACATTTGCATTAACTGATGTCCATATATATTACATCATCATTTAACAGACAGTCTAACACGATGATCAGACAAGCTAATGATATTCATCTGTAAAGAATAAAGAAAAGTCCGACATGCCACTGTTTGCCAGATATTCATTAATAGCGGTTGTTCTGCATCTCTTCTACTATGGGAGTGCACTGCTGTTTGTAGGCATTTAGGAACGATGGTGAAAGAAAGAACAAGATAGCAGTGTCTATACCTATCAATGATATTGTGATGGCGGGAGCTATGATGTTAAAATATGTGTTTTTGCAAATATTTGAAGCGGATTCTTCTGCATCCGATGAAAAATCAGATGAGTCACAGAGACGAGCATATGTTCCTCGGATATAAAAATTACATCACCGAGATTGCTCCGTTATACAGGAAGGATAAGAACCATTCAGAAAAAAAACTCCACTGGAGGATTACTCTATTAATTTTTTTTTCTTTTTTCAGCTCTAGTACTTCAAATCTCACTTTAGGCTCAGTAGGGCTTCATTTGAAGCACTCAGTAATTTACTGATGCCAAAAATTACTAATCATGCTGTTAACAGGGCAGGGAGACCGTCTTTGACAGCTTGTGATAAGGTGCTGATGACCTTGTGGTTTTTGGGCAACCGTGAGGCAATATAGGTAAATATTAACAAGTATTACGGAATAACGCCAACCAGTAATTTTGCAGTTTATGTCGATCAACATTAACTGCAAAAAACTACAATTTATCATCTTAAGTTTTCATCTAATCCAGTCATCTTCAAAAGAGTTGACTTTTTTTTTTTTTGCTCATAGTTTATTTTTGAGATAACATTTTTTATATCTATTTTTTAAGATGACTAATTGCATTTTAGGCGTCTGATATCTGTTAAAGTACTGTATAGTGAAATCTTATACAATATTGACAGATGTAAATTGCAGGATTACCCTCTAATCTCTTTATAGTAACTTCCATGTAGTAATAAGATATTTAATATATTGTAGGTCTGTTGGTGACAGGTTTGGTGTATCCAAATAAACATTATTTTGTGCTGTGCAAACAGCATGCGCTGCTCTCTCAGAACTTGCACCAAAGTTTATAAAATGGCCTTCAGGAGATTAAGTGCAAGAAATTATACAAAGTTTCCACAACGAGAGTGGTTTTCCAGGGGTAGTAGGAGCTATTGATAGCACCCACATTGGAATTCCAGCTCCACAGATACATGCAGTTGCATATGTAAACTGCCACGGCTACCATTCTATAAACTTGCAAGGTATGTGATGTCACTTTTGATACAAAGTGATCTAGTCAATGAACAGAAAATTGTTCTGTTATGAATTATGTAGTTCTATACAGTAATACAGACAATCACTTTCTATGAATTTTCTTAATTCAATCTGAAGTTCTACAGTACAGATCTGTACTCTAATGATGCTAAACTCAACTCTCGTGTGACAATTCTATGATTTTCATCTCCTGTCATGCGGTGAATGTGGATGTGTCCATGATGCCGAGGTTTATGCCCGCTTTACATCTGCTTTACATTATCTGGAAAAATAGCCAGGGAGGCTGAAATAATGTTTCCATAAGACTCCCATATTGTTGAAGATGGTGCTTATCCCATAAATAAGCAATTAATGAAACTATCAATATATCCTGACAATGGGCATTTGACAGCTGCTCAAGTCCGGTACAATAGCAAATTATCATCAGCCAGAATTATTACTGAATGGTCATTTGCTCACCTGAAAGAAGATGGAGAAGACTGCATTATTTAGACATGTTAAAAATAGAGTCGATACCATCTGTTGTAATGGCTTCTTGTGTCTTACAAGAGGGGACATCCTACAAGAAAATACTGAATTGGAAAAAGTACATTAATTTTTTTATCCTAAGTTTTGGTATTATATACTATACAGTACATGTATAACAAGTGTAACATTTTCAATGTTTTCCAGGATCCAGGCAATCATAACCTTGGAGTATATCAGAGATCATATGCTATTAAGCAAAAGCAAGGTGGAAATGCAAAGTGTGACAGAATTCCTCAAAACTTATAAACCAATATATTTAGTAGTAAGCAAAAGATTCCACTAATGCTATTTATTAATTATGTACCTTAAGAGGAAAGGAGTAAATAATTGATTATATTCTGATTTTGGATAAAGTGGAGTTATGAACTATTTATTTATGGTTAATTACAAACATTTTGCATACAGTTTATGGAAATCAGAAACTACTTTTATTATTATCTTTTTATTTTGTAACATTTCCTATTTTTTCGATGAATTGTTTAAATAAATTATTAAATTCATCCATCCTTTGCAGGCGTTCCTCATGCCGCTGCTGTTTTGCAGTTTCACGTTTGACATCTGTCAGTAATTTTCTTTTTGGATATTGGACTGGTGATGGAGATACAGATGCAGACGAGCAGCTTTCACTGCTATGAGTGAAAGGTGATGCCACATCAGGACATTCACCGAGCCACTCATCCATGTTACTGTAATAACACCACATCCTCCTGAAAAAAGACCACAATATATTTTAGTATTGAGAAATATAAGTGAAATTTCAAAAAAAGTCACCTGTTGTTGCCAGATGTACAGGGTGTCCACCATGAACCTGACACATTTGAAACTTTTGTAAAAAATCTACCGTCCGTAAGAATGTAAAGTAATGCACATTTTATGATCAAAAACTCAAAAAGTTTTATTTAAAAAATCAGTGAACCTCTACATGAGCTCCTTTTGTTGTACGTAGAACATCGAGTCTCTACTCCATTTCCTGCCAGGTTCTTTCAAGCATCTCTGGTGTGACGACAGCAACAGCATCGTGAATGCACACACGAAGATGTTGAAGGTCACGAATTTTGACATCGGTGTAAACCTTGTCCTTGACAAATCCCCAAAAGAAAAAGTCTAAGGGCGTAATATTCGGTGATCGAGGAGGCCATGGTATCGGTCCTCCGCACCCAATTCAGCAATAGGGAAACTGTGCATCAAGGAAATGTTGAACATGCAGGCTCCCAATGTAGAGGGGCACCTTCCTGCTGGAAATTAAATCTGTTAAATAAGGGAATTTGTTTCAGCATACTACCACACAGATTGCACCCACTCTTGTGGAGAAGCCATTTTGCATTTGACTACTACCATGCCCCTTACAATCAGTTTGGCAGGTTTTCAAAATTACGTATACAACTTTCACAGTTTCTCCGCCTAATGGAATGCACGACATCTGATTACTGCCTCACACTTCGATATGGCAATCGAAACAAATGTGTCAGATTCATGGTTGACACCCCGTATTATTATGTTTTTTTTTTTTTTTCACTTTTTATAAGTTCTCCACAGTCCATCCCACTTTTTCCTACATCCTTCCCCAGACACTTCTACTTCTGTTTTCAATATTTCTGAGCAATTCTGTAGAAGCAATGTATTGGCATTACAATGAATGGTTACCATTAGCATTGGACCGTTCATGTATTATGTCAGATGGGTCAGACCTTACAAAGTGTCTAAATGTTTATCAGTGATTTCCATAATGTGTAGGTAAGGTTGATATAAACCTTTATTAAACACTTTTCAGACTTTTTTCAAAAACATTTGAGATGACTTATGTTTAAGAGTTATAGCAAAAGTCCCCAATTTGTTTACAGCATTACTGATTCAAGTTAAAGGTTTATATCAAGCCTTATTCCCACAAACATTACTGAAATCACTGATGAACAGCTCATAAGGGTTCCTTGCTAGTAACAAAATACAAGTTAAGAGGTATCAAAATATGTGAAAATTGTATGACAATATTTGAACAACCTCCCATAATAAAAGGCAAAAAAAAATACATACCTGTTCCATAATATGGACTTCCTTCTTGGCCCATTTTCGAACATTTCATTCATATCTTTTTTCATTTCAATTAATTGCAAAATGTCCTTATGGAGCCATTTTGCACCACTCAACTCATCCTGGGAACTGGGAATCGAAATCCCGCCGTCCTGATCTTGGACTGATGTTCCTATAATATTTAAATTAAATTCACTACTAAATTTGTACTGCTCCTAGTTAAAAAATTCAAATATTCTAGGCAATGAATTCATTGCCTAAAATATTTGAATTTTTTCATGTTGTCCTTATAATTCTGTTACACAGTGTATAAAATTAAACTATTTATATTTCTTTCTAGTGAAATTTTAATAACTTTCAACCCTTCTTTTAACTTTTGAAAAAAAAAATTAA